TGAAGCTTGATCACTACCCTCTCAAGAGAGAATAAGGAAATACTAAATAACACAGTCAACCAACTCAACCAACTCAAACTAATTTGTGTCTATGGAACTCTCCAGTCAATAACAGCAGAAAAGGTATTCTTTCTGAGTACAAATGGAAAATTCAGCAAAAAATATAGACCATATTTAAGAACACAAAACACACCTTGAAAGTTTAACAGAAGAACTGAAACTATACAATATGCTTTCTACCCCAGTGAAATCAAACTATAGTCAATAACAAAAAGATAATGGGAAAATCTCACATTAACAAATTAAGTAGAAATATTTTTTAAAACCAAAATTGTACATACAGAAATGAAAATTAGGATGTGTGAGAAAAATACCCTGAATACTCCAAAATTATACATTGCAGAAGATTAGTGAATATGAAATCAATAGAAATAAAAACCTCCCAAGAAGGAACACAAAGACAAAAGAGAATTAATAAAAATGAACAGAGCATCAGCAAGTTGGATGTCTTCAGGTGGACAACTATATATTTAGTTGGAGCTCCCAAGAAAGGGGGTTTGGGGAAACAAAATATCTAAAGAAGTTATGTCCAGAATTTAAAATTTTCATATAAACTATGCATCTACAGATTTTTTTTAAAAAACCTCAGCAAACCTTCACTATAAGAAACAAGAAGAATATTACACCATGGTTCATAATAATCAAGTTGCTCAAAATAAGTGTAAAGAGAAAAATCTTAAAAGCAGCAAGAGGTGAACAAAATACTTTGTATACAAAGGTCCAAATATAAGGCTAACATAGAATTTTACATCAGAAAAAATATAGGTAAAAAGATAGTTAAACAATACTTTTAAAGTACTAAAAAGAAGCCAACCTATAACTCTATATTGAGCTAGAATATCTACAAAAATAGAGAAATAATTTTAGACATAAAAATGTACATGATATACATGATATTGAAGTGCTAAAGGAAGTCTTTCTGCTTGAAATAAAATAATACTAGGTGAAAATAAGAACTACACAAAGCAAAGAAAAACAAAAGAAGTGATTACTATATAGTAAATATTTTTTCTTATTTAAATCACTTTATGTAATTTTTAAAGGGTATTTAACATGTAATATGAGTTAACATGAAGTGCTAGAATATGTGTTGGTACACGAAGTTAAAGACGTATAGAGGAAATTTTAAAGCAATCACTAAAATAAAAATGAATCGGAGTTGATAAGCCCTCATGAGAGTTAACACAGCATTTCATAAAAATATCTGTTTAATCTGAAATTAAGCAGAAAATAGGAAAAAGAACAAAGAAGAGATAAAATGAATAAAAAGAGGATAGATTCAAACCCAGTCATACTGTTAATCACATTAAATATAAATGGGTGTAATATCCCAATAAGGCAGAGAACCCCCGACTTGATTTTTCTTAATAATTAATGCAAGTAGTCCAAAATTAACCAGTGATGATACAAAAGATTTGAATAACACTGCCAACTGGATGAAATTGACATTTGTAGACTTTTAATCTAACTTTTTCATCTAACAGAGCAAAATATACATTCTTTTCAAGTGATGAAACACTTAGCAAAGTAGATTGCATTCTGCAAAACAAGTCTCAATAAATCAAAAGGATCAAATCATACAACAGAATTAAATTTCTAACCATGGGGAATTAAATTAGAAATAAATCAATAAAAAAGATTTCTGGAAAAACGGAAATATTTGGAAAATGAATAACAGACTTCTAAGTAACCTGCGGATCAAAGAATTTTTTGAAAAAGGAATTGGGCAGTCTTTTGGAATGAATAAAAATGAAAACACATAATAAAATTTGTGGAGTTCTGCTCAAGTAGTGTTTATGGGATAATGTATAGCATTAAAAGCCTGTATTAACAAAAGAAAAATAGTGTTAAACCAGTGATATTTGCTTCTACCTGAAGAAATCTGGAAACACTAAAGCAGATTGACCCCACAGGAAGTAGAACAAATGAAATTGAGATTGGAACAGGAATCAATGAAGTTGAGATAAGAAAAAACAATGGAAAAATCAAAAAAAAAGCACAGGTGATATTTTGAGAAGATTGATAAAATTGCTAAACTTCTAGAGGAGAAAAATTGCTATCAGAGTTAGAAATCTGATGTGATGTTAGTGTAGATTCTACCAGTATATTTTTTTTAGATTTTATTTATTTATTACTAGAGAGAGGGGAAAGGAGGAAGAGAGGGAGAGAAACAGCCATGTGTGGTTGTGTCTCAGGTGCCCCCCTACTGGGGACCTGGCCTGCAACCCAGGCATGTGCTCTTAGACTGGGAATTGAACCAGTGACCCTCTGGTTCACAGGCTGGCACTCAATCCACTGAGCCACACTAGCCAGGGCTCTACCACTATTACAAAGTATAAGATAATAGCATGAACAAGTTTATGTCTATAAATCTGAAAAATTTCATGAAATGGATAAATCTTTTAAAAGCTACAAACTCACTCAAAAGGTAATAGATAATTTATATATTTAGGAAATAAATGTGTAGCTAAAAACTTTGTGATAAACCAAAACAAAAACAAGTACAGGCCTAAATGGCTTCCCTGGAGAATGCTACAAAACATTTTTAAAATATCTGATTTTACAAAAATTCTTCAAGAAACTGGAAAAAGAATGGATAATTTTTTAAAATTGTACTTTAATTGTTGTTCAAGTACAGTTTTCTGTCTTTACTCCCATCCCAGACCACCCCCAGTCTTCCCCACCTCCCTCACATTTCCACCCCCCTACTTTTTGTCTATGTGTCCTTTATACTTGCTCCTGTAGACCCTTCCCCTTTTCCCATGAAATTCTCCTGAAATTTCCTCCACTCTCCTCTCTGGTCACTGTCAGCCTGGATAATTTCTAAGAGAAATTCTATGAGACTTTTTTATTATGATATCAAACTAGACAAAGACATTGTAAGAAAAAAATACTTATGTCATTCATGATCATTAATTCAAAACAAAATTCTTAATAAAATCTTAATAAATTAAACCCAATAATATAGTAAAAGGAAAATAAATTATGATCAAGCAAGATTTATCACAGAGATGCAAGGCTAGTTTAATATTTGAAAATCAATATAATCTACCATATCCATAAAATAAAAATGAAAATGTATATATAATCACAATCAATGACAAAAAAGCACTTGTTAAGTGCAATATTTATTCTTGGTAATCTAGGAAACCAGGAATGGAAGAGAATCTATGAAAATACAACAGTGACATCACACTTAGTGATTATTATGTACTGAATGTTTGTTTGGCCTCCTCTCAGAAAATTTGTACGTTGGAGCCCCAACCCCCAATCAATAGTATTAAGAGGTGGCACCTATAGGAGATAATTAGGTTTAGATGAGGTGATGAAGTTGGACCCCATGATGATGGAATTAGTGACCTTAGAAGGGGAGGAAGAACCCAAAGCCTTCCATCTATTAGTCCTGTGAGGATACACGGAGAAGTTGGTGGTCTTCAATCCAGGAAGAAAACCCACACCAGAAACTGAAGCTGTCTGTGCCTTGAGCTTGGACTTAGCTTCCAGAACTGTGAGAAATAATGCCTGTTGTTTAAGCCACCCAGTTGATTATATTTTGTTATAGCAAGCTGAGCAGACTGAAAAAAGATGAGCCACTGAATGACCAGGAATGCAATAAAGATGTTTGCTTTGATGACCTATATTAACATTGTACTGGAGGCAGTAGTCATTACTGTAAGAAAAATAAATAAAAGGCATCCAGGTAGAAAAAGTGGAAGGATACCTGCATTTATTTGAAGAACAACACAGTTATCTACACAGAAAATCAAAACACTATTATAACTAATAAACTGAGTTTAGCAAGTTTGCAGGATATAAGATCAACATAAAAGAATCTATGGTGTTTCTATTTATTATCAATAAATTGGCGGAAATTAATATTAAAATATTACTGTTAAGAACAGTATCAGGAAAAAAAATATTGTCAAAGAAAAGATCAGCCCTGGCTGGCGTAGCTCAGTGGATTGAGCGCGGGCTGCGAACCAAAGTGTCGCAGGTTCGATTCCCAGCCAGGGTACATGCCTGGGTTGCAGGCCATGACCCCCAGCAACCGCACATTGATGTTTCTCTCACTCTATCTCCCTCCCTTCCCTATCTAAAAATAAATAAATAAAAATTCTTTAAAGAAAAGATCAATATACAGGAACCTATAGTAATTCTAGCTACTACTTACAAACAACTGGGAATTTATAATAAAAATATTAGCATTCATATAAAGAAAAAGAAATACTTAATGATAGGTATGAAAAAGATGCTCAACATCTTTAGTCATTAGGGAAATTCATATTAAAAATCACAATATGAAGTTACTGTATCCCTGTTGGAATGTCTAAAATTAAAAAGGCTGACCATACCAGCTGTTGATGAGGAATGCAGGAAACAACTGAAACACTCACACACTACTGGTGAAGTGTGTAATAACACAACCCTTATGGAAAACTGACAGTTTCTTAAAAGGTTACATGAATACCTACCAGACTATCCAAATGTTCTTCTCCTTAATCTTTACTCAAGAGTATGGAAGCACATGACCATACAAAGATCAGCTGCATGAAAGTAGCCAGATAAAGAAAGGGTGCATTATGTATTATTCCATTTCACTAAAAGCTATGAAATCCAAACTAATGAATGGTGACAGAAAGTAGATCATCAGATGTCATGGGGTGGAGGAATTACAAAGGAGCATGAGGAGGTTTTCTGGGGTGATGATTATGCTTGTTAACATGATTTTGGTGATAATTTCACAAGTGTATGCATGTATCAAAATTTCAAATTATAAACTTTAAGCATGAATAGTCTATTGTATATTCATTATACATTAATAAAGCTGTTAAATTATTTTAATAATATTTTGTGAACCTCATTGATATCTTGATTTGTACATTAATAAGTATACTACAATGACATTATAATTACATTCAATGTCTTTTTTTTTAATATAGGACAGGGAAGTTGGGAGACCTGACAGCTCCTTGCAATTCTGGCTGTAAATGCTCAACATTTCATTCACCTGTGTGTGGAAGAGATAATATTGGATACTTTTCTCCTTGCTTTGCTGGTTGTACATATTCTAAAAGAATAAATGATCAGAAGGTAATTATTTTAAATTATGCTTCTTCCTCTCCAGTAAGATTTTGAAACTGTAGATGATGTTTACATTATGGCAGCAATCCAAATAACTTAAAATTGAACATATGTTATCTGTGTCTGTCCTTTGATATTTACATGGATCAAGTCTCATTTTAACATCCCCCTATTTGCTCATTTGGGGCCATTATCATCAGAATATCTTATTTCCCGGGGCCTTCTACCAACCTCCAAACAAATTCCCCTTTTTTGTCATATGGAGCAGTTTACCATTCAGCTATTTTTTGACTCCAGGTTAATTTTCTGTATCCAAAGTTGCATAAATACGCTTTCAGCTAAATAATGGACTGTAACTGCAGATTCTTCCTTTTAAGTGGCATAGGGGCAGGGACTTGAATTTTAAAAATTCTATATTTCTCTCTCTCTCTCCTCAGGCTAGTTTTTGTAAAGGGGAGAGAGCAACAGAGATGAATATTTCTTGATCCATAGGCATCGTCCCACCTCCCTTAGCTGGTAATAAAGTCCTGTGTTGGTTATGCACCTACATACCAATATTCTCTTCCCTGTTATACACAGATCGTTTCACTACAAGATACTAGCACACCTGACCAATTTCAGTTCCTTATAGTCATGTTTCAGTTGTCTATGATTTAATGATATACTTTTAGTTTTTTATTGACTATTGATATAAAGAGGTTGCATACCCTTTAAAAAGTCTTTATTAAATGTTATGATATATATTTAAAATTACATTTAAAATCTTTGAAATATGTTACTGGGGAAAGCATTCAATGTAATAGAAAAGCATAGTAGACTCCTATATGCCACTTACCTATCTTCAACAACTTATTAAGTTACAGAAAATCTTATTTTATACTCCTGCTTACTTCCTGTCCTCTATTTTTGTTTGAAACTAGTAAATGATTATTAAATGCTCACATTTAACCTTGGCGTTTGACCTTGGCATTTTGAACCAATATTATTTAAGAACTAAAACAGACAGCCACTGTGTAGCTCCAACCTCTTTTTCTTTTAGGGAGAATTCCTTTTAGGAATTTTTTTTTGTTTCTATTTAATAAAAATATTTATAACTTTCTTATGTTTTTCTAGGAAATAATTCATAGTGAAAGCAGTGAGAAAAATTAACAAAGTAATCAAACTATGTGATAACTGTGATATTAAATAAAAATTAAAAGAAGAACAAAATATTTTTTGACAATTTTTATAAGATTTATTTGAGCCAAACTGACAACACATACTGGAGAGCAGGATCTCAAGTGCTCCCAGAATAAAATATTTTTGACAAAAATTAGACATCTTAGAAACTACCCAGGACAGTTAACCTTGACAGAAATAATGGCTCTGAGGGAAAACTGACAATAGCAGAAGCTGTGACTACTACAATTTGATATGGATGCAACTGATGAATGGATAAAATGTGCATTAATTTTAGATGGAAAAGAATCAATAGTAATAAATATATTTTTAACAACATGAAAATTAAATAAAAGAAATACCATATACAAAAATGATCAAGTAGCTAAATGGTTTTAATGGAATTCCCTCTGGAAAATATTTTTTCAATGAAAATATGTTAACTTTAAAATAAATCTGATTAAATGTTAATTTTCTTTTTTTTTAAGATTTTATTTATTTATTTTTAGAGAGGGAAGGGAGGGAGATAGAGAGAGAGAGAGAGAGAGAGGAACATCAATGTGTGGTTGCTGGGGGTTATGGCCTGCAACCCAGGCATGTACCCTGGCTGGGAATCGAACCTGGGACACTTTGATTCCCAGCCCGTGCTCAATCCACTGAGCTACGCCAGCCAGGTTAAATGTTAATTTTCAAAACATGATCTGGGTCAACATGAGTTAAAATTGGACATGTTAATTACCCTTACACAACAGTTTGCAACTGGAGTGGTGGGAAATACTGTATCTCTGAATAGTATTTCCTATAGAAAATCAGAGCTTTACTAAAACTGAAAATAGATACATCCTCTTCATACCGATAATATTCCTGGGCAGGTTTGCTTCATTGAAACCCATATATAATCTTATCTATGCCACCAAAGATCGTCAAATTTTCTTATGTAGATGTAAAAGAAATCTTGTTGTTTTCGTCTTCATCTTCTCATTTGGATTAGTTCTTCTCAGCAGCTAACAGCTTTCATGATAAACAAGAAGAGAGGGCCTTTTCTGAAGGCTGCTCTAGTCCAGCAGGAGCCTCACTCCAGTGACCTATAAACAAGAAATCAGTCTCACCCACGGCATTTAGGATTCCAGGAAGCCAGGCTAAGGTCTCATTCAGCTGAAAACATTCTTAAAATATTTTACTTCTGTTACTTACCTCCCATCTTTGTGTTTTGTCATATATTTTATTTCTTCATATATTTTAAATGATACTTAACTATTATTGTTGTTATTTTGTACAATCAATATGCACTTATATTTGCCTACCCATTTCCTTGCATTCCATGCTTTCATTTCTTTTTTCTTGAAGAACTGTATTTCAGCTTTGTTTTAAAAAAAAAACAAATAAAAACAAAAACAACTGTTTTCACTGGGTATGGAATTCTATATTGGCATTTGAAAGATGCCATTATATTGTCTATGTCTCTGGCTGCTTTTAGGATTTTTCTCTTTGTTTTTGATTTTCAGCAGGTTTCCTTTAATGTGCCTAGATACGATATTTATTAAATTTATTTTGTTTGGGTTTCACAGAACATCTTTAGTCTGTGGATTTATGTCTATCTGTTGGAAAATTCTCAGCTATTATTTCTCCTTCACTCTCTCTTCTTTTTTGCAGGGTGCATGTATTAGTTTACTATTGCTACATAACCAAATGTCACAATGCTATGTCTGTAAATCATACCCATTTATTAGCTCTCAGTTCTAAAGAAAGAAATCCAGATACAGCATGAGAATCTCTTCTGCTCAGACTCTCACAGGCTGAAATCAGGATGTAGATTGAGCTGTGTTCCTTCTGGAGGCTCTGGGAAAGAATCTACTTACTAGCTTATTCCAGTTATTGGCCAATTCAGTTTCTTTGGGTTGCAAAAAATGAGGTCCCTGTTTACATGCTAGCTGTCCGCTAGGTCTGATTTTAGCTCTTAGAGGCACTCCCATTCTTTGCCACGGGACTTCCTCCATCTTCAAGGCTGGCAACAATCTCCTTTATCACATGCTTTGAATCTCTGACTTCAGGAAAAACTCAGTACCTTTTAAGGCTTTGAAGTTTACCCACTCTTTCTTAAAGTCAATTATGTCACATAATGTAACTCGGTAGGGGGTATAAAATTCACCAGTTCACAGTCCTAGGAATTATGTAGACATTATAGTATAAAATAGGAGGGTGGACATCTTAGGTGCCATTTTTGAACTCTGCTACCACACACTACCAGTAGACTTTTCCACTGTGTCTAATACTCTTTTGTCCTTTTCTCTGTTTTCCATCTCCTTTCACCTGTTTAAGTGTAAATATTTTTTATTGACTTGTCCTAGTCTCTATTCTGTAGTGTCTATTTGGTAATGTCTACTCTGCTGTTAAACCTGTTAACTGAGGTTTGAAATTTACTCATTGTATTTTTCAGTTCTAATAATATAAGTTTTTGTAGAATCCAAATCCTGTTGAAATTTCATATCATTTAAGATATTTTACCCTCCCTTTTGGAAAAATATTAATTACAGTTATTTTAAAGTTCTTGCTATTAAGTCCACTATCTAGATCAACTATGAGTCTACTTATATTTGTTCTTCTTTTAATTTTAAACTAATTATTCTTACCAATTTGTAAGCCTTGAAATGTCATATTAAGTCCTGAACATTGTGCATAAAAATATTTCCTAATATAATTATCATTTGGCTTCATGTGTTTTCAGACTCTGTTATTATATGCATAAACAGTGACAGTTATATCACCTTGATGAGTTCCTTTCGTATTTATAAAATGTCTCTTTCCACCATTCTCTGTCTTTAAGTAGTGCACTAAATTTTATATATTAAATAGTCACTCTGGCTTTTTCTGACTGTTTCCATGATGCATGTTATTTCACTCACTTTATTTTTCAAATATTTGTGTCTTTATGTTTAAAGTGATTTTGTAGCCAGCATATAATATGGTTTTTCTTTGTCTTCAGTTTTGTTAACCTGTTTTTTAATCTGAGTTTTTAGAGTACTCGCATTTATTATAATTATTGATATGGTGTGTTTAGATCTATCTTCCTTTTTATTAATGGAAATAAATGTATTTTACTATATTATTTTGATATGACTTTTGGCATCTCGATTATATCTCTTTGAATGTAATTCCCCCATTTTTTGTTTGGCCCTTTCAGAACCTGGGATCTTGTGATTCTACAATCTGTTCACCAACATTCTTCATATTTTCACTTTTGCCCTGAGGCAGCCTAGGTTTTATAACCTGCAAACACTGGCTGTGCTACATATCTTTTGTCTGACCTCCAGATCCACTTTTCACACTTTTTCCCAGTCCTCATTGTTCCAGGAGACTGATTTATATGATGAGAGCTTCTTTGCCTTCTGGCTTACAACTACACTAAACTAATACAGAGTTCTAATAGAAAATCAGAAAGATGAGGAACAGCAGTGAAGTCAGCGTCATTTTTTAGGTGCCCTCTCTGACCCATGGACTGACTACCTCCCCAGACTGAAGGTCTCAGTTTCCTTCAAGGAAGCCTCCACGTGACTTTTTCCTTCTGAACACCATTTCTACCCTAAGAGTTTTCAGAAAATCCTTTTAAATCTACTTTCAGAATAAATGCTGGATCTAGCTACCTTCATAAGTTCCTCTGATACTTACCGTGGTCCTAATCAGCATCACTTTGTACCTTGTTTCAATATCTTTTTAACTGTTTTCTCAGCTTTCACCTTTACCTTCATAGGCCAAGGGTCTCAATATAGCAGCCAAGTGATCTTTTAGAATGTCATTTATACATATATCCCTCCAATGGTTATACATTACTAAGATTAAAATCCAAAGTTTTTAAATTAGCCTTGTAATTATTTACCAGTCTCTGTATAATCTGATCTTCCCCCACTACTCCATTATATTTTCTTGTAGTTTACTTTATGTTCCTCTGCTCCAGCCACATTTTTCTCCTTGCTTTTCTTTGAACTTATCAAGCAAGCTCTAGACCCAAGACCTTTAAATTTCTGTGTTTGTTTTTGTTTCTCTGCCTAGAATGCATTTTTTAAAAGATAACAAATGGCTCCCTCTCTTCCCTTCTTCATATCTCTGCTCAGTTTATCAGTGAATCACTGGGGTAGTCATTAATTATAATAAGTTCACAAACATGATTTTTGGACCTACATGAATCATTCAGATTGAAGCCATCTTCGTTTCCTCTTATACCTTCACTAGTAACCTAGTGCCATATTTCTGTTGAGTTTATGATATTTCTTAACTTAAACCCTTTTCAATAAATTAATAAATTGCTAATTTGTCTCTGTATCTTCAAACTCCGTTTAGTTCTTCTGAGACAGTATCACCTATTCATCTTTCTTGAATTATCAACCCTACAACAACCACCCCCAGTTTTCATTTGCTCCCAGTTAAGTCTATCTTGTGACTTTGGCCCTAGAAACTTTGCTTTTGTAAACAAAATAATAATAATGATAATAATAAGAGTAACAGCAACAATAATACATTTAAACATTAATGTACAACTGCATTAGTATGAAGACAAATATCATCCAGGCCAGATTCATTATTATTATATTCATTTTTTCAATTTTCAAAGACACTAAAATTACAATTTATGTGGCCTAATATATTTGGGGCCTATTTGGCAATGCCTACTCTGCCTAATAGATAATAGCCCTGCCATCATGACATACAAAATAACATCTTAGCTTTGCAGTAATAGTCCCCATACATCCACATTTGGGTGACTGTCGATATTTTAAATCCCAGTTAAGTTAAATTTTTTAAAATATTTTATTTATTTATTTATTATTTTTAGAGAGAGGGCAAGGGAGGGAGAGAAACATCCATGTGTGATTGCCTCTCATGTGGCCCCCACTGGGGACCTGGCCTGGAACCCAGGAATGTGCCTTGACTGGGAATCAAACCCGTGACCCTTTGATTCATAGCCCATGCTCAGTCCACTGAGCTACACCAGCCAGGACTAAAGTTCAATTTTACTTATCACATCATCCTTAACTGCTCTCAATTTACAGATCTCTATGAAAATTACCTGTGCAATTAGATGTCAATATTTTTGGTGGAATTTCTTAAATTAATAGAATTTTTTCTAAGTAACTATAATTACATACATACACACAAAAATACATGAGTCTTTAAAATAGCTTGGACTTACATTAATATTTCATTTCTGAGTGATGACTAGCAGATTTAATATAAGGGTATTTACTATTAAAACTGGCTAGTCTCAATATAGTTATTGATTTAATTTTTACTTTATAATAATATGTTTTTGCTTTATAACTATATTTCTAAAAGATAGTATTCTATCTTAATTTTTAGACATATTTCAATTGTTCTTGCATTACTGATGGATTAACAAATGCAGATGAGGAAGGTGATTTTATTGATGCCAGATCTGGGAACTGTGATACAAAGTGCCATAAATTACCTTTGTTCATTGTTGTTATGTTTTCTACACTTATATTTGCTGGTTTTTCTGGTACACCAAACACGCTGACCATCCTTCGGTATGTATATTATTATTTATAATAATTGTCTTTTAAAATATAAAAAGTCAATTTCAGGAAGATTTTATAATATTATAGTAAATGATTTACTCTTGTCTCAAGGTAGCAACTGCTAGAGGAGAAATTGTTACACTGTCAAAATTCATGTGTATGGTTCATTCTTTATATTGACCAATTTATTTGCATAAAGCCTATAGCCATTGCATTTGGTTCAATAAACTTTAATTTATAACATGGAAAATTTATATATAGGCATATTGTTACATTGTCAAAATTTATGAACATTTCTAATTCTTTATCTAATTTATTTGCACACTCTACAGATGCTACATTTAATTTAGCTTTAACTTAAAATTAAGTTTAAATACTTAATTTACCAAACCTGGAAATTTTGTAAATATAGAGAAATTCTTAATTATGACAAAGATTTAATTATAAGGTTTAATTGGTTATAGGTATTTATTGAATATTTACTTTTATATTAACCAATTTGACTATGAAAAAACTTCAGTATCATCAAGAAAGGAACATAATTTTAGACTTTTACTTATTATAAGGTTTTTAAAAAATTTTATTTATTTATGTTAGAGAGGTGAAGGGAGGGAGAAAGGGAGGAACAGAAACATCAATGTGCAGTTGCTTCTCATGTGCCCTTTGTTGGGGACCTGGCCTGCAACTGAGGAATACGCCCTGACTGGGAGTTGAACCAGTGACCCTTTGGTTTGCAGGCTGGTGCTCAGTCTACTGAATCACACCAGCCAGGGCAATTTTTACAATTTTAGAATGTTGTTACATGTTTATTATTATTCTAAATTAAAGCAACATTTGTTATTGATTTGTTTTTCCTGAATATGTATTGATAAAATAAACTTGATATTTATTTTTACTACAGTAGCAGAATAATTGGTCATTATTTTCAAATTATTATTTTTTGCCAGGGGCTAACATAAAACTTTAAGTCATCAGGAGTGCTTTTTTGGTCTCTTAGGAAAGCATACTAGAAAACTTGAATAAATATATGCAGAAATAAAATCTGAATTGGGCTTATGTGACCTCTGTCCTCAGTAAAATTGCAATTTAGATGGGAGACAAAACTCGGGCATATCAATATAAGAAGTGGCTTTTTCATTTACTTACATGTGTCTGGCACTGAACCTGTAAGGACCAATAAAATATGGACCTTGACCTTCAGTTACTTAGAGTTTAATTGGGAAGAAAAAACACTTAAAAAGAAATAGAGTGAATATGTAAAAATGCTTTGATTAAAGCCTATACAGACTGATCCAGGACAAAGTGAAGAGAAGGGCAATTTTTACCTAGGATGATTTAGAAATGCTTGCAGAAAGTGTGTCACTTGAACTAAGGTGTAAAGATAAATGATTTCTTATAATGTGAGCAGACTGGGGACAAGTTCTTAACAGGAAAAGTGAGCAGTGCAAGTAGAGGCAAAATGCATAAAATATCTGAACAACAAGTTTTGTTTTGACTGGAGTGGTATGATGGTGAATGGGATGAGGAGATTTGAGCTTGGGAAGGGCCTGATAATGGGTGGCTTCTTTGCCACATTAATGTGAATGATGTTATTGTATGTATGTGTGGAGGTCATGACCACAATACCCCTCAAAAGTAAAAGTGATCAGCCCTGGCTGGTGTGGATCAATGGATTGAATGTCAGCCTGTGGACCAGGGTTGCTGGTTCGTTTCTCAGTCAGGGTACATGCCTGGATTGCAAGCTGGGTCCCTGGTGGGGGCTATGTGGGAGGCAACCACACATGGATGTTTCCTTCCTTTTCTTTCTCCTTCCTTTCCCCTCTCTCTAAAAATAAATGAATAAAAATCTTTTTTAAAAAGTAAAAGTGATCAAATACACATTTTAGATAGAATACTTTTAAAATAGTATGGAAGATGATGCTGAGGGAGAAAACTTGAAAAAAAGAAAAAAGTACTTAGGGTATCATTTTAAAAATTTAGTAGTGGTTTTTAGAGATAGAGATAATATTTATTTATTTATTTATTTATTTATTTATTTATTTATTTATTTATTTATTTTTAGAGAGGGAAGGGAGGGACACAGAGAGAGAGAGAGAGAGAAAGATCAATGTGCGGTTGCTGGGGGTCATGGCCTGCAACCCAGGCATGTGCCCTGACTGGGAGTCGAACCTGCAACACTTTGGTTCACAGCCCGTGCTCAATACACTAAGCTACGCCAGCCAGGGCAAGATAATATTTTAGAAAAATTTAGTTTACATAAAAGGGGGAAGTTATTACTTTGATATTTCTGGAACCAAATATGAAGAAATTTATGATTATGGCCAGATTTCCAGTCTGGGGAGCTAAATTAATGATAGTGCATTAACTGAGTTAAGAAATTTAAGGAGAAGAGAAAGCTCAGATTGAAGATAATCAGTGCAATGTTGAACATACCTTATTAAAAGTTTATGTGAAACATCCAAGGAAGTATTCCCCACAGTGTGGTAAGAAAGATGATAGTAATATTCCCGAAGTTCAGTTCTGAATCTTCTCAATTCTGAACCTGATAATGATCCAAAGCAAAAAGGAGACCAACACACACACATACATGCACACACTGTATTTTCAGTGCTATTATGAGACAGATAAAAACGATAAAATTGAAACTGCATGTAAGTATTTCTTAAATTGAAACGGACTGGAATCTAGTTTATAATTTCACAAAAATGTTAGAAAGAAAAACAGGAAATGTGGAGAGTGTCTCAGGATTGACCAATTTCAGATGTCTCCGTTATATATTTCTGCTTAGGAGAAGAAGACATCCAATTTTATTTATTTTTTAAAGATTTTATTTATTTTTTAGAGGGTTAAGGGAGGGAGGGAGAGAAACACTGATGCACAAGAGAAATATCTATTGATTGCCTCTCGCTCGCCCCCAGCTAGAGACCTGGCCTGCAACCCACACATGTGCCCTAACCACCAGTTGCACCAGACACCTTCCAGTACCCAGGCCAGTGCTCAAGCCACTGAGCCACACCAGCCAGGGTGACGACCTCACCTTTAGATGGAAGTTATGGGAGCATTACCTAGGTAGATAAGTTAAGGCTGAATATTTCTGGAAAGAATGAAAGAAAGGTTTAGAAAATGCCCATGAGGGCCACATATGGCAGATCTGAAGGAGTGCCAGTAAAATATGCCTTCTACACATGAATCCATATCTTTGGAAAGCAAGGAGTGTGGAGACTTCAGAAGCCCAGGGCTGGCACAAGTTCTTTTGAAACAGCCCAGGTTTGGGGAGGCAGAGTCTTCCCTCTATCCACGGAGGAGATAACACTATTTGAAGCTAAGAAACCCTGGCTCATGTTCCATTTCCATAAACTTCTGCCTCTACTTTCACAAAATAATCTCATTCAAATATGAGTAAGTAGAAAAGGAAAACGTTCTGCCTACATACAAAATAATTTTAGTGAAAGAAATGAAGCATTTTAATCACTACTACAAACCACACTAGAAAAATAATACCAAGTGCTAAAATCAGATAAAATACACAGGTAACTATATGTAAGTTTAAACCAAAAAATTTAAACAGTCATGTTCACAAAACAAGAGAAAAATATCTAGTTGAAGGAAGCTACGAAGTAAAAATGAACAGAACTCAGGAAAAAACCCAGAAATTTCAGAAAGTAAAATTAAGTTATAAAGCACACACAAAAGAAAAGACGACATACAAAACAAGTATGAGGCATAGAAAGTATAGAAAGAGAGGGAGAGAGAGAGAAATGGAGAATACAAAATAAATTTAAGATAAAAGGTCTTAAGAGAAATGAGGCAAACATAGAAGACAGATGATCCAACATACTACATAACTGGAGTCCCCAAAGAAGAAAACCAAAACAGTCAAACAATAAATATTTAATCCATAGTTAATTAAACTTTACTGAAATGATTTAAAAATTTTTATTTGTTGATTGTGGAGAGAGAGAAAGGATGTGGGGAGAGAATGGAGAGAGAGAGACAGAAAGCAGTATCGATTTGTTGTTCCGCTTATGCATTCATTGGTTGCTTCCTGTATGTGTCCTGACTGGAGATTGAACCCACAACCTTGGTATATCGAGACAATGCTCTAACCAACTGAAGTACCCAGTCAGGGGCTGAAATGATTTTTAATAAATACTGAAATAACAAGTAATAATAATAAACAATGAATAAATAAAATAAAATGAAATAATATTTGAATTTACATATTGAAACTGCACATCAAATATCTAGGGAAATTGACCCAGAACAATCAACACTGAGATATACCACAGCAAAATTGGATTTAAAGTAAAGAGATAATTTTTTTTATTATCTAAGAAAAAAAGGAAAGCAAAAAGTTTGGCATCATGTTTCTCAAAAGCAACATTCACCTCCAGAAGACCAGGAAGACCTTCAGGGAAAGAAAACATAAGCTAATTATTTCATCATCAATAAACTGCCTCATAATTATAAATAGTTTTGATATGGAAGAACCCAGGAAATGTTGTTATGAGCTAGTCTTTAAGAATGGACAACAAGGCAGGTTATAAGCAGCCAACATACGTTTGCTGATAAAAGGGAAACTAATAAAAGGTCTGGTGGAGAGCACTGAATGTGGCAAACTAAACAAATTTAAGTCATATATTTAACTAAATATATTCATTTATGCTGGAACTAAAAACTGAGCATAAGGGTGGCAAAATAGAATGAAATGTAATATATTTTGATAAAGTAGAAATTACATAACTAACAAAAAATGGGAGAATAAAACAAAAGAGAGCTCAAAAGAAGGACAAGATTGCTTGCTGGCTAGTAGTAAGTGGGAATCAACAGATGTCATTTTTATAGACATTTTATTGAAGATTAATACATATTCAGAAGAGTGCACAAATTGTAGACTGATGGATTTCTACAAAGTGAAGATACCTATGTAACCACAATCCAGTTCAAAAGGTTGATAATTACAGTTATTTCTTTAGCCCTTCCCCAACTCCCTTCTTGTCATTAACCCC